TGGAATGGAATTTAATGCACCTACATGGACCCGACGCATCATCAATGTAACATCTTTCTTTTCGATTTATTTCCAACTATCAACTCGTAAAGGAGCATTCCTTTGAAGTATGCACCCTAAATTTAGTAATGTAGCTTTGACAATTGTTTCCTACGGCTCTCTTGATATGCTTAGGAATGTCAATTTCAACTAAATCACCAGAACATCTCTTCTTTGATAGCTCAATACCTAGTGTCTGTTCACGCCTTTTCTTGCTGCTTCTTGAACCTACGTCAATACACAAAATTTTCAATGTAAGAAAATTTAATTAGTGTAGATAAGTAACACTCAGATCAAACTAAGAGAATGATGTTAAGCATTCAACAAAATTTCAGAATTATGCAATTGGGAAAGAAATAATGTTAAGAATAACAGTCACAAAACAGATAAATTTCATCAAACTCTACATACAGTCACAAGCAACCTTTTATTGCAGTTAATTAAAAAATAGAGAATGTATAAACTAGCAATTGCATACTTGTAGTGTTGTTGTCCTCTTCCAAAGTAGGAGAGTGAGCTGCTTGAGAAGACTCCAATAGTTCAGTATCCCGAGGAATCACTAATTTATCACGGTGGGAGGAAGATGACCCATACTGACTAGAAGTCGATGGCCTGGGACGTTTGCATAAAGGTATAGGTGAAGATGGAGGCATTGATCGACATGTATTTTGGTTAGGATTGATGTTTGCAAGTCTTTCACAATTGATGCAATACCTTCGTAGCTCGTCCTCTACCAGCCATAGCAATTTAAAACCTGTAAATAAATAAAAAAAACTCAGAAACTGAAATATAAAAGAAATGGAAACTAAAACAGAAACATAAACATAAACATAACCATAGCAATTTAAAACCTGTAAAAAAAACCCGTAGAAACTGAAATATAAAACGAAATGGAAATTGAAACAGAAATAGAAACTTAAACATAAACATAAACAAAACCAATATCATTATCATTAGAATTGTTTTAATTTTAAAAAAACTACATTACAATATCGTTATCATTGTCACTAGCATAGCTTAATTCTTCCTCAATGTCCCCATTGCTATGTGCACCATCTTCTGCATCGCTTTCAACATGTTCCACAAGAATCATGTCCATGTCACATCTTTATGTAACAACACCTCATCTTCATTAACTTCCACAAAACTGACAAACTCATGCGACTCTTGTTGATATGGATCCTCGCATTTTTTTACAACATAATTTACTTCTTTCTCTTTACAAAATCATAATTCCCTCGAGGTTGTGAGCTCTCTACAACTCGCCAACTATTACCAAGTTTTGTATCCTTTAAATAGAATACTTGTTGTGCTTGGCATGTAAGAACAAATGGATCGTTTTCATACCAAGTAATAGTGATATTAACACTTGAGAATTTGTATTCATCTATACGTATTCCCTTTTTCTCATCGAGGTCGAACTAATCACACTTGAAAATGATAACCTCGTTGCTCCCAAGGTTGATCTCTCTCAAAACACCATAGAAGTCAACACTTTTACCTTGATGTTCTCCTTTAACAACCACTCCACAATTTTGAGTTTTATGATTCATCTCTCAATCTTGAGTGTGAAACCTAACCCCATTCATGACACAACTGTTGTATAGAGCCATTAAATTATTAGGTCCCCTAGCATTCGATATCTTCTGCTTGCATACGTTGGAGAAACCATTCTAGAAATTCTTTTTCTTGCTTCTTTTCTACATTCGTAATATTTTGCTTTTCCAGTTCAATCTTATGTTCCCTACATAAAAAGACAGGCTAATATAAAATAAGTAGTAGACAAATAGTGAATAAGGAAACAAATAGTGAATAAGGAAACTTACGAACAGTAGTTTGCTTACATTATATACGGGAACGCATCCTCACAATTGTTTAGCACATACAGCCGAATCTTTGTTCAATCAGTCAAAGTAAGCTCATCATCAATGACACCACCTAACAACCTGAATTTTTGTGTGAACACAGATAATCTAGTTTTCTTTGTCTCATCACTTCCATCATAATTTCGATCTTTCTTATTAAACTTTGTCTCAATACCACGTAGGTACATAGAACAAAATGTTAGGCAGTCATTGTCACAATAACCCTCAACAATTGACCCTTTAGGTTTGGCTTTGTTTCTAACATAACCCTTCAAAGTATGCATCTTCCTATACATATGCAAAGATGTATTACTATAGAAAATTATTTAGCACAAACATATAGACGGAACAATGTAAATTTACTCACTTTCAAATGGATACATCCAAGAATATTGTGCTGGTCCAGCAAGTATTGCCTCGTGAGCTAGATGAAATGGTAGGTAGACTGTAATGTCAAAAAATGAAGGTGGAGATAGCATTTCCAACTTGCATAGGATGAATGCAATATTTTTATTGAGTCGTTCCAAGACATCTAGTTTCAAAGTTTTGGTAGTCAACTCCTTGAAAAATAAGCATAACTCTATAATGGCCTTATGAACATCCTTAGATAAGTATGCACATAATGCAATAGAGTAGTCATTGTAAAATAAAATGACAATCATGACTCTTCCTTCCTGAAATATGAGAGTCCCTCATGTTTACACAACGTGAGATATTTGATGTCATTCCATCTAGGAGTTTCACCTAATTTAAGAATTCACATAGTCCCTTTTTCTCTATCTTTGAAAAGGTAGGAAACCATATTTGACTATCACGTTTTATGGGGTGCAAACTTTTCCTAATGCCAATAGGTTTCATATCAAGCCGAGTGCCATATTTGTCCTTTTTCTTACCCTTTGTATCCATCAATGTTTCTAAAATATTCTCACACACATTCTTTTCTATGTGCATTGTGTCAAGATTGTGATGCAATTTCAATGTTCTCCAATAGGGTAATTGAATGAAAATATTTCGCTTTGTCCAATTTAATTGTTCCTCAGAATGCTTTCTCTTTCTTTCCTCTCCAAGCTCCCTCTCGAAACATGGTAGTGTATCACAAGTCAATTGTTCAACCACATCATTTCCTGATAAAAACTTAGGTTTTAACCTCTTCTCAACCATACCATCAAAGTCCAAATTTTTGCGCCATCTATTACTTTGTGGCAAAAACCAATGATGACCGAGGTAGACTATTTTCTTCTCATTTGACAACCATTTATTACATGTATCTTTATTACATGAAGGGCAAGCCAATTTTCTTTTGTACTCCAGCCAGACAATTCTCCGTATGCAGGAAGATCACTAATTGTCCATAATAATGATGCATATAAATGAAAAATTTGTCTACATTCAACATCATATGTAGCAACACCAACTTCCCAAAATTCTTTCAACTTTCTGGTTAAAGGTTGAAGAAATACATCAATGTCATTCCCAGGAGCCTTTGGTCCTAGAATAAGCAAAGACATCATAAAAAAAGGATCTTTCATACATTTCTATGGAGGCAGATTGTGTAGAACAAGAAAAATTGGCCACATGCTATAATTTGTACTCTTGTTCCCAAATAGATTGAATCCATCACTCGATAACCTCATTCTAACATTCCTTGAATTCAATGCAAATGATTCGTGTTGTCGATCAAAGTAGTTCCATGCTTCAGAATCAGCTGGATGTCTCAGCACCCCATCATCAATTCTTCTATCCTTATGCCACCTCACATCTAGAGTAGTTTTTTTAGATATACAAAGCCTTTGCAACCTAGGAATTAAAGGCAAGTGTCTTAAGATTTTTTGGGGAATCCTTTTCCTTTTGTCATTGCCTATAACATACCTAGGGGTATGACATTTTGGACACTCTTGTTCATCTTCATGTTCCTCCCAAAAAAGCACACAATTATTTTCACATACATGAATCTTATCATAACCAAGACCCAACTCTCTAATATTTTTTTTTGCATCATGATAAGATCTTGGTATTGTGTTACCATTAGGAAATGCCTATTTTAACAGCTGAAGCAAAGTTGTAAAAAATTTATTGGTGCAGCGATTAATTATCTTCAAGTGAAGAAACTTCACCATGAAAGACAATTTAGAGATATTCTGACAACCAGGATACAATTCTTGCTTTACATCACTCACCAATTTTGTAAAACTATTTGCTTCTCCACTAGAAACATGATCTTGTGATTCCCAATCATCCCCATACCTATTTTCTTGTAAGTCATGTAGCATTCACTACTATAAAAACATGTATTTACGGCGTGCAATGCGCATCGTAAAATGGTATTTACGGCACACGCCGCGTGCCACGAAAGGTCGAGTCGTAAAAAGTCCATTTCATTTACGGTGTTTATTGCACGCCTTAAAAGGCCTTTCAATGCAGGGCATAAAAGGGTATTTAAGGCGCACATCGTGTGCCACGGAAGGCCCACCTGTTTCATTTACGGCATATATTATGCACTGTAAAATACTTTTTGCGGCTTACTATGCACGCCATGAAAGACCATTTTTATTACAATTTAAGGCATTCATTGCACGCCGTGATTGACTTTAATGTTTTTTTTATAAATATTAATCAATTTCTTGCTTGCTCATGTTTCATAACATTATATTTAAATTGTCTCGTATACCCTGAACAAATGATTTTAAAAAAAGAGAGAAGTATAGTAACCGAGCTTTAAAAATAAAAGACATTTTATTGAGAACTATACCCAATCATAATAATTCTAAATACAAACTCTGCCACATATAACCTATGCAAAAACATAGGGCTGTTCACGGGTCGGTTCGGGCCGGTTATGGGCCCAAACCGCATGCCGAATCGGGCCTTGTCGGCAGGCCCCAATGCTAAACCGTGGACCTCTCTTTTAGGCCCATTTTTGAGTTAAGTCGAAACCCGAGTTAGGCGGGCCGGTTTGGTTCGGTTCGGGTATTTGCCGAGGCCCAACAAAAGCAACAATTGAAGGCTTTTTTTAATTATTATTTTCCAGGCCCATTCTGTTTTTTTGGACATATTTCAACAATTCAAGTTTTGACAGAAACTGTACAGTTTTTCCAGTTTCTCCAACTCTGCATATCTAAAGTTTTTTCATCATTCAAATACTTAAAAAAAACCTTAAAACCATAGCAAATCATCCACCACACATCTCAAAATACAGAAATTAATAATTACAGTCCATAGCAAATTGTGAGAGTAATCTCAATCACAATTTGCATATTTGGTGGATGATCTCAATCACAGAAATCATTATTTACAGTCCATAGCAGATTGTGAGAGTAATCTCAATCACAATCTGCATATTTTCGAAGTTAAAAGAAAATCCAAATCAAAACAAGTAATTCACAAAAATTAGTCTTGATTGAGAAGCATTCAAATCTTCAATAGTAATCTCCATGTTTAGCACCATGTCTCTTCATGAGCTGCCGAACAAACAAAGATCAAGCAAACCACTAAATAAATCAAAGAGAACCCACATCATATATGATCAAAAAGATTACTTTAAAATCCACCTATAAAAAGAGCACTTAAGAATCCAACATCTATAAATGAAAATTTTAAAGTTCACTTGTATCCTAAATCATAGGATATGGTGAAATTGAATTGCCTTGGGGAAAAGACCCCACCCTGACTGTAAGATAGTGACAAAACCTTTGAGTTCAGTTTAAGCTCATCTTTTTCAAGCTGGTTGCACAAGATATCAGTGCGTGTCTGCACTACACATAAAAAAGAAACAGATCTGCCACACAGATCGAAACCTATATTATGCTCTATCATCGAAACTAGTACACATACATGAGCCTGGGAATTATCAAAGTCAAATAAGCATAAAACATCAAAACCAAAAGACAAATATGCAGAAATCTAAAAATCATGAAAGACCCATGACTTCTGATCTGCACCGTTTCCATATATTAATACCTGAAACATAAATAAAAAAAATCGTGAGAGGGAGATTGAGAATGACTGAGGGAGGGAGAAACTGGCTGAGGGAGACGAGAATGAGTGACTGAGAGAGAGCATGCGTGATTGAGAGAGCGGCTGAGAGAGAGAGAGTGACTGAGAGAGATCTGGTGAGAAATGTTTGAGAGGAGGAAGAGAAGAGGCGAGAGTTCTTGAGAGAGGCAGAGAGTCTGAGAGGAGAAAGAGAAGAAAGAGGCGGAATGGAATAAACAAATCGAAGCCCTTGAAATGTATTAGGGTTTCGCTCGATCGTGTGTAGTGGAGAGTAGGAAATGGCTTACACTCGACGAGTCATCATTTCACACGTGTATTATTTTTTTATTTTTAATAATATAATTAAAATATCCGGTTCGGTTCGGTTTTGGGCGGTTTGCTGACAATTAAAATCGGTCCAACTCAGTTTAGGTCCGGTTCGGCCGGTTTTTTTACAGATTCATCAATTCTTCAGTCTAAAAACCGAACCAAACCACCTTAAGCAGTCTGTTTCGGTCGGTTCGGTCGGGTTTTCGGTAATAATGCCCACCCCTACAAAAACACTCTTAGCAAGCTAAAAAACAATACTCACACACATCCTTCGAGCAGTAGACATCACTCATACTCTGCAACAAGAGAATCATGTGCTGGTTTTGTAATTGATTCTCTAAGATTACTAATAAGAACACATGCCATAGAGGTATGAAGGGCTTTAGCTGCAACATGGATGAGTGTCATTGCTATTGGACTCCAAGATAGGACACGTAAAAGAACATATATACACTGTTTTTGTTGACCTATAAAAGAGTATACAAGAAAGATATAATTAGTTCACATCCCCGAATCCGTTCAGTCATGAGGATAACAACAAAATTTAATCTCTAACACCTTATGCAAAAACATCCTGCCTTCAAAACCGAAAGCGAAACCCAAAAAAAAAAAAATGGAGACAGCAACCAAAACATAATGGAGACAGAAACCAAAACAGAGCAAGCCCAATATCTCATTCAATCATATATCAATATATCATTCAATATCACAGATCACTTAATTAGTGAACTCACCACTGTTGGTACTGAGTGACCTTCATCCATAATCACCACCATACTCACCTAGTCATCCAAAACAACTATTGCTTTTGCTTTTGAACTATTTCCACCTAAAATATAACGAAAATATGAACTACAATCATATTCTATAAAACATAACATCTAATTTCTAAGATATAACAAAAATCAATCTCTACCACATATAACCTATGCAAAAACACCCTAGTTGACAAGCTCTTTCCAGATTTCTAAGATGCCAAGCGCTTTCCACCAAGAACAGTAGCAGTCGTACACAATGCTTGTCCTCTGAAAAAAAAAAAAGAAGAAAAAAGGGAAGCACAATCAGTAACTAGGAAAAAGAATTAAATAGAAGAATAAAAGTGAATTCTAAGGATGAGAGTGCATGGTGGTATCTAAGTTTGTTTACTTCTCATACCTAAGGACAATAGGAAACAAATAAAGTAATATCATGGTATAACAAAATATGCTTCACACCAATATACTCACTATCACACCAACTTATATGACCAAGCAGATAGTCATCTCCTATGCTGTTTGAAGCAAATTGAGAAAGCATAATGAATACATAAAAGAAACCAAGCAGATAGTCATCTCCAATGTTGTTTGACAAAAATTTTAATCAACATTCACCAGTAGACACTGCCACAGCTTAAACTGCACATAAACAAACAAATCAATCTCACTCTCCTCCATCACTCACCACTAGACATTGCCACAGCTTAAACAAAAATGAAGAACATAAAATGTACTTGCGATGCAAAACCACACCTAACTTCCTCCTATCATTCATTGTTAGTAAAACATAAAACATCTACTCAACAACCAAACAAATATCAAATGCCAAAATTTCAACATGTAGAGCACAGAACATTCAAAAATATTAATCACAAACCATACCAGTCAATTAGTTTGAAGAAAAGAAGAAGGAATCCTAGCAGAATATGAACTCAAGTGGTTAAATTCGTATTCATTAGTTTTATAAGTTACTGCATTTGCAATCCAATAACTTCACTTTGCCGTTAAATTTTTTCCCAAGGAAACAAATGGAGAAGGAAGAAACCTTAGGGAAGGTGGTGCTCTGGGTCCATACACTACCGTCGTGACCAACGATGGCCACATAGGTCAGATGGTGCCTGTCAAATTTTCGTCTAAGGTCTGAGCCCTCTCTGATTTATGGTTCAAAGGAACATAAAACCTACAATTACAACCAAATCAAAATCAAATAACTTATAACCCAAATCAAACATGACAATATGAAGGAAAAAAAAACTAATTTTGCCTAACCTCAAATCAATTTGTTCCGTCATTGGAAGGCATGGAATTCCATGGCACGAGCTTGGAAGTAGAGGAAGATGACGAGAGAGAGAGAGAGAGAGAGAGAGAGAGAGAGAGAGAGAGAGACCATGCGTGAGATTGTTAGGGTTCGAAGAGGCTGATACAGGTATAGGATAAAATCTGTATGACCAAATCTAAGGTTAAGGTTGGGCTCGATGGTCTCTGAGGCTTTGGAAGCCGAAGAAAAGGTGAGAGAATAAAGATTGCACATTGCTTTTTTTTGTTCTCAGAGAGTCAGAAATTGAGAGACTGAGAGAGAGTGTTTAATGGAAAGGGATAGGAGAGATTGTTTTGATAGAGGAGGTTTAGAATCAATAGAGTTTAAGAGACAAAATTAAAATGAAAAGAAAGTTAGAACAGAGAGATGGTTGCTGTGGGATTTGGGGGTGAGAGGAGAGAGAGAGAGAGACGAAGTCTAGGAAGAGATGAGAGGGGAGTATATGAGGGTTTGGAAGGAATAACAAGCACCAAACTTAAATTTGGTGAAAAGAAAGAGTGGCACGCAAAAAAAAAAAGATTGGGGGGAAAATGGATTTCACGGCGTGCAAACAAAGTATGTCGTTAATGGTAATATAGTCTATGGCACGAAGCACACACTTTTTATAGCCCCCGTGACTAGCACGCCATTATTAACCAAAAAGCATGGCATGCATCTAAAGCACGCCGTAATAAACATAGGCAAAGATTCATTTATGGCATGCATTGAATGCACGTCGTAAAAACTAACCTTTTACGGCTGGCAACACATGCACGCCGTAAATAGCGCGCCGTAAATACTCAGTTTTCTTGTAGTGATTTCAAATACTTCATCACATTCCTCTTCCTCTAAATCATCATCACTCTTTTCTTCTCGATGAAATATTCATTTAGTGTAGTCCATAGCCCTTCCATTTGCATATAAATGATCCTCAACTTGATGTAGAGATCTATAAAGTAAGTTGTTGCATCTATTACATGGACATAACATTTCAGTGATCCCTGGTTTCATGTGCCTAATTGCAAAATTAATGAACTCCTTTACCCTATGAATATACTGTGTTTTTCCCCTAGTATGCATATGAATCTAACTCTAATCAAAGCCAAAAGAGAAAGAAAAAAAGAAAGTAGTGGGGATTAGTCTAAATTTGGGTTTCATGGTCTTACAGGTAGATGTATGAAACTAGCCTAAAGCAAACAAAATTGGTAAAACAATAATGTGCATTACCCCTTTTTTTAAAAACAATACTGGTCAAAATGCAAGCACGTCTACTAGTACAGAAGTTTAAGAGGGTTGGTGAACAGGAAAGCAATAATGTTGCTTGACTTGTGAAATCAAGAGAAAAGACCATTCTAACAAGCAAGAGGAAAACCACCAACCAAAATAGAGCAAAGAACTCAACAGAGTATCATAAATTGAAGACATTTTTCAACAAACGAATCCGTGAAAAATATTAAAACTATATAGTAGCCCCTGAAATTGGTTTGGACATACACTGAAAGTCCATAGCATATTGTTCATCAAAGCGAAGGCTAACAAAAGCCAACTACAGGCTACGAAATGCATCTCCTTTTTTCCCCCTCTAAGACAAGGCATACTAACGGTAATGTATAACATTCCAAGACCAAAATCCTTCATTGATACCTAATCTCAGTATCCTCAGAAACAGACATGAACACACTAAGAAGAAAAATAGAAAAAGATGAAAATTTTGACTTATATCTCCATTTTGATTGATGCCAAAAGAATGTTTCAATGAACTAGATCTAATTCTCTACATAAACAATGAAAACAAAATCCCGAGCCATATAGTCGTCAAAGCAACCAGAACCCTTTTCTTATCTTCTGTACAAAATCTAAAAACAGCTTATAATAAGCATAAAGTTTTCTTACTCGACAAAAACATTACTAAATTTCTAAAAGCATACAAGAGTAATACAATAATATTTTCATCAAGTAAACCCAAAAAAAAAATCATAGTTAGGAAAATTGATATCACAATGGAACTCAAAATCACAGTCAATAGAGAATTAGGGCTCATTTGGTACGGGAGACTGTCATAGACTGAACTAAATACTGGGACTATCTTGGATTGGCTTGGCCTAGCATAAGCTGGATAAGACTTGTCCTGCGTTTGGTGTAATGTCAGACTAAGAAGCTGGATAACGAAAATAGTACTATCCTGTGTTTGGTGTATGCTTGGACTGAGACTAAATTTTTAATTTTTTTTTATGTGATATAATATTTTAATTAGAAATTATTTTTACTATAATTCCATAGCAAAAAATTAGTATTAAATTTTCCAAAACTTTGGGAACATGCCTATATTTTGAGAATATTTCCCAAACTCAACTTCCCTAACACAAATTACCAAACCGTCACTAGGTAATTGCAAACACAACATGCAATTGCCATCACAGTTTGCAAAAACCAACTATCTGTTTGTCAATTGCCGAACCACTAGCCACATGACCTCTACACTTGGTTTTATGCTTCCTTTCTTCCTTCAAACATGGTGAGACAAGCTCCAAACCATCCCAACATCATATC